CCAAATATTTTCTTAACTTTGTTTCATTACAAAATCCAGTTTTTGAAGTATGAAAATTCTGGTTGCGAGTGTAATATGGGGGAGGCATAAGATACCACCGAACTGTGGATTTTAATGCACGGTTACGCACATCTTTGCCCAAGGGACTAAGACTTACAAATCCGTGGACTTCTCTGGGTTTCCAGTTGATCATCTACCTATGACTGTGCTCCCCACCAATCAGTTGGCACACTCATGGCAGCCTCATCTCTAGTCTCCTATCTACACACAGCAGCCAGACCCAGTAGGATGAAATGTGGGTTGACTTCTTGGGTCCTACTCAGTTAAGCTGACTGTAACACTAACCTTTGATTTTCACCAACACTCATTGACTCTCCTTAGCAAATTCCATTTTCAAATTGTGTAATAGTTATGGGGAAAATTACAAGGTTTCACCACGTAAACTTTTAACCAAAGGAATTCACCTGGCTTTACAATGGAATATGGACTTTTGTATGAAGGTTGTGCCTGGCTAACTTAGTTTGAACTAGCTAGCAGTTTTTCATCATAATTAGTTCAATAAAGATTCACACTAAGGAACAGAAAGTTCATGGACTAATAGCTGATCCAGTAAAGGATATCACCCACTTGTCCAAGCAGGTACACACTGTTTTGATTTTGTTTAGTATAAATAAGAATTGTTTTCACTGTCCTTTAAATGTGTCCAAACTGTTTATTTTTCATGTAACTTAAAATTCAGTCAAACTATCAACTACAGAAGACTTCCCTTATTTCCTGATCGAATCTGCTGTTATTGTAGGCTTACCTGTCTAATACTTGTCAGGAAATGAATTTTAGCCTACTTCTAAATATTGTTGTAAAATGTTTTCAGATGATAGAAATCAAGGTAAAAGATTAGCAGATTAGTAAATGATAAGCAGGTATTTATGGTGCTAGTCACAGAAGTAGCAAATAAAAAATTCTAATGATGATGATACACCACTGAGTTAAAGAACAATTTAATATATAATTTAATAATTTTAAGCACTCACTACAAATACAAGTATAATTTCTTGATTGTTCATGGATTTCCTAAGAAATCTGATGATGATTAGAAAAACTTTTCTAAAGAGTCCCCCAGAAAAAAATCTAGAAATTAAGATATGCACTACACACCTAGCACTAATACTAAAAAACTTACACACTTAAAAATTTCATAATAAAATATTCCTATTATACATGAATCACAAAACACTTGTCAACTACGAGGTGACAGCTTATGTACCAAAATATACAGAATATATATATATTAGCATTTACAAAAACATATTAGTAAATGGTTTCAAAATCTATGTAAAATAACTCATAAAAGATTTAAAAGAAAAATTAACTCTACTGAATTTTTTTTAGACATGTCAAACTTAAAAATTATGCGTGTACTCAGAACATCAAGTATCAGTTACTTTGATATCATACAGATAACTACATCAAAACAACATCAAGTGTCAGTTACTTTGATATCATACAGAAAACTCTACATCAAAACAACATCAAGTGTCAGTTACTTTGATATCATACAGATAACTCTACATCAAAACAACATCAAGTGTCAGTTACTTTGATATCATACAGATAACTCTACATCAAAACAACATCAAGTGTCAGTTACTTTGATATCATACAGATAACTCTACATCAAAACATCAAGT